TCAGTTTGTTACTAGGTCTCATTTGAAGGGGGGTGGTTAGTGGTTGAATCAATCTGTTCTCTATTTCAGGTGGGTTTGTGTTGCTATATAGGTATCTTTGATGCTCCAAAAACCCCACATTCCTTCAGCACATGACTGCTGTTAATGAGCTTATTGAGAGTGTGGAGCATAAAAGAGTTTCTGCCAAAAGTGGAATCAATACAAAATTGAATTCTCCCAAAGGTGAATCAGTTTATATCTCATCTCCCCTTGGAAGAGCTTGGGGTTCAGTTCATTCTGTTGCCTAGAGACCTCAGCTCTCTATAGCCTTAACCAAAGTTAAGAATTTATAGATTATCTGCTTTTTATAATTGTCAGATTAGAAGCATCATTCTCTTGACACTTGTTATAGTAAGTGAAAGTGGAACTTTCTCTTAAACCAGCCTTTTAAAGATAACTTTAATTAATTAATTAGTTTTTGAGAGAGAGAGAGAGAAAGAAAACACACACATGCAGGGTAGGGGCAGAGAGAAAGAGGGACAGAGGATCCAAAGCAGATTGGAAGCAGATCCAAAGTGGGCTCTATACTGACAGCAGAGAGCCCGATGCAGGGCTCGAGCTCACAAACCCCCAGATCATGACCTGAGCCAAAGTTGGATGCTTAACCCAGGTGCCCCAAGATAACTTTAAAGGAGCTAAACACTTTAAGATTATGAATATAGGCCTATAGAATGAATGGAGAAAAAATTTACTAATGTTACTCAGTTGGTACTTTTAACTTGGGATAATATCTGTTGTGACAGTTGCATGTGTAATTTGAAGTATGCTATAACTTAGAGATGGGAGTGAAAATAATGGAAATATGTTAAATGACTTAAATATTGGCTGTAATCATGAAGGCAGTGATATATAGAAGATGCCCATAACAAGTTAGGATAAATTTTCTTTCAAGAATTGTGAATGGGCAAAAAGAGTATTTTTAATTTAACATATTTTATGTATATAATTTCAAATATTAACAAGTAAATCCACTAATGATAAGTTATATAATAAAATTTTTAGATTTCATGTCTATTCCTAAGAAAGTCTTTTTTTCAAGCATTTAACCTCCCTTTGTATGTACCTTTTTCGTACAGTACATGGTACAATACATGTAAAGTCTGTTGGGTTTTTTTAATGTTTATTTTTGAGAGAGAGAGAGAGACAGAGCATGAGTGGGGGAGGGACACACACACACACACACACACACACACACACACACACACACAGAATCCAAAGCAGGCTTCAGTCTCTCAACCTCATGAACTGTGAGATCATGACCTGAGTGGAAGTCAGATACTTAACCGACTGAGTCAGACCCCCTCAGATGTTGCAAATATCTTTGGAACATTTATTTCAGAGGCAAAGAAGTCTTTCTTTGGTTATTTTCTTATTTTTAATTGCAGTCTATTCCGAGTGATTTTACTTTTTTAGCTGTTTGACTTGAAGCTGCTAGTTACCTAATCTCCAATAGACTCAGTTTCCTTTTGAGGCAAGTTAAGTAATAATACAAAGCTCAGAAATACATGTCTTGTGAGGAATTATGTAATTTGAATGATATATGTTAAGAACCAAGCACAACAACACTTTATTACTGGTCTTTAATACATGATAGGTGCTACTATAAATGTTGATGTGTTAAGTATACAAAGTTAAATATAGAAAGTCTGTAGTGATCAACAAGGAGTAAAACAAGGAGTGTTTCTTGTTTTGACCAAAGAGGTTTCTGATTCACAAAAAGTCAGAGTAAAATAAAAAAATGAAGTTACTTTCATTTCTCAACAGGTAGCATCATATTATTTAGAGTCTTGCCACCTCTATGTTACTTTATACATACTTTATATACAGGAACGATCCATTATATGAATTTGAGATTTAAAAAAAAATTTTTTTTAATGTTCATTTACTTTGAGAGACAGAGACAGAGTGCAAGTGGGGGAGGGGCAGAGAGGGAGACACGGAGATTTTTGATTTAAGAATGGAAAAGCTATGTTTACTTGCTGTAAATGATGTTTCTACAATTAAAGGAGGACAAATTCTTTTAACCTTTGAAAAGATTGTGTGTGGGGGGGCACCTGAGTGGCTCAGTTGGTTGAGTGTCTGACTCTTGGTTTTGGTTCAGGTCATGATCTCATGGTTTGTGAGTTCAAGCTCCGCGTCAGGCTCTGCACTGACAGTGCAGATCCTGCCTGGAATTCTTTCTCTCTTCCTCTCTCTCTGCCCCTCCCCTGCTCATTCTTTCTCTCTCAAATAAAACTTAAAAAAATGTTTTTTAGAGGTACCTGGCTGGCTTAGTTGGTAGAGCATGGACTCTTGATATCATGGTCATGAGTTTGAGACCCTCCTTAACTTAAAATTAAAAAAAAAAAAAGCCAAGAATTTTTTTTTCTTTTTTTTAAAAACGTGATTGTGGCATTTGGTTTTCATTGTGTTATTCCTCGGCAGAATTTGGGCTATGAATGTCTATGAATGTAGGAGGTTACCTTTTCTTACATAATTGGGTGCAGGAAATATTAAGGTTATACTTTTCTCCCTTGCTTGAAATTTTATACATCATAGCTCATGGATTTTTAAAAACAGATGAAATAGAACATGAAGGTATTAATATATATACTTCTCAATATGAGTACAAGTTCCAAAAAATTTTTCCTCTAGGGTAAATATATCACATACATGAAATAAAGGCTTTAACATTGCTTTCCAAATTCCCAGCAAGAATGTAACCTATTTTGACTCTTTGATGCTTATAGTTTATTTTTTTTCTCTTAAAAGGAATTTATAAGAAATAGGTATTTTTAATCCACATGGAATTTTTACTTTGGCAAATTTCTTCCTCAGGTGGCTAGGTCATTTAAACCTATGAGTGCATTGGAGACAAATGTATGAATGCCAGAACTATCCTGAAATTTCTGCCCATTTGGCCAGACCCTTGATAATATGGCTCTAAGATTCCCAATTGGCCAGCTCCCCACTTAAGAATTCTGTGTTGTGATAAGAGGAAGAGAAGAAACAAAAGAAATAAAGAAAATTTCAAGAGCATTACAGTTTTTTTAAAAGAAAAATTGTCTTAAGATATACATAAAATTTACCTTTTTAACCATCATTAAACAATGGTTCAGCAGCACTAAGGACATTCACATTGTTGTACAGCCATCACCATTATCCATCTTCAGATTTTTTTCATCTTTCTGCATGGAACTTTGTACCTGTTAAACGCTAACTCCTTATCCTCCCCCCCCCCCAGCTCCCTAATTTCTGTCCCTATGAATTTGACTAAGGAGCATTATAGTTTTAAATGAATTTAGATGTTGGAAGCCAAATTGGTCTTAAACTAGTTAGATACTAGGATTACTCTTATTTTTCTTGGCTGAACTGCCCTCAGTTTAGAGAAGTTACAGATTCTGAAGAATGAAATGGCAGAGAAGATGAAGCCACACTTGGGGAAGAGACTCAGATTTTGTTGCATGTGAAATAAACTTGAAATTTTGGTTGTTGCTTTTGGAATACAAATTTCCCTGTAGATGTAGTGGTTTCCAGAGGATATGATTGTGGTTAAAGAGATGTATCACCCACAGCATATCTAAAATTTTGGATACAGTGTATTTGAATTCCAGACCTATCCTGACTGCACTCTAAGTTCGTCAGACTATGGCTCTGTGAAAGTGCGTCTGTTCTCTGAAATACAGAAATCAATGTTTTGGGCTTCCATCAGTGATACACATCTTCTTTTCTTCAATGTAATAAGAGCATTTAAAAAGTAAAAATAAGCATTTAAACAGAAAACAAGCATTTAATAATAAATAATAATAAAAAGCATTTAAAAGGTAAACAGAAGCATTTAAAACTACATGCTCAGAAATTTTGGATAGCTTTGGGCCTATACCTACTCTTTAGTAGATAAAGACACTGAAAAAACTGTCATTTGTATTTTATACTGTGTATCCCTTGTAATGAATTTCTCTGCTTGAAAAAATATATTAAAAAAGACGACAAAAAGGACAAAAAAGAAAAAAATTAAAAATCCTCTGCTTATGCATGTGAGGAAGACACAAATACTATATTTTTGGACTGCAATCCCATGTCTGAGCTCACTAATGGTTACAGATTCTCAGGGGATGTGTCTCCTGCCCCCAGCCTCTATCTATCCCCTCACAAGTTCTGCTGTTTCCTTTTTTTGTGTATGTTTTATACTTTATTCCCTGTATTTATTACTTCTCAATTTTTTATTTCACTTTGCTTTTGGCTTCTGTCTTCCTTCCTTTTGTGCTGGCTCAAATATATATTTTTAAAAATATTTTCTCTGTTATTTTGACTATTTAAGATATTTAGCCTGACATGAATGACAATCTTCGTACATTAAGAATATCTTGCAGGGGCGCCTGGGTGGCGCAGTCGGTTAAGCGTCCGACTTCAGCCAGGTCACGATCTCGCGGTCCGTGAGTTCGAGCCCCGCGTCAGGCTCTGGGCTGATGGCTCAGAGCCTGGAGCCTGTTTCCGATTCTGTGTCTCCCTCTCTCTCTGCCCCTCCCCCGTTCATGCTCTGTCTCTCTCTGTCCCAAAAAATAAATAAACGTTGAAAAAAAAATTAAAAAAAAAAAAGAATATCTTGCAAACGTTAACTAACTTAGGTCTCTCTGGATCACCTATCTCCCCCTTTTTGTATTTCAGTTCCTTTTTTTTTTTTAAGTTTGTTTGTTTATTTAGAGAGGTTGGGGGAGGGAATGAGCTAGGGAGGGTAAGAGAGAGAGGAGAGAGAGAATCCCAAGCAGGCTCCACACTCAGCATGGAATCCAATGTGGGGCTCAGTCTCATGACTGTGAGATCATGACCTGAGCCAAAATCAAGAGTCAGATGTTTAATCGACTGAGCCCTTTCCTTGTATTTCAGTTCTTAAAGCATATATATTGTTTTTATAAAGCTTATAAAAAATCAAAATACTCTTTAAGTGATTATTTTTTAAAATATGTGTATTTATTTTATAGCTACTTGAAGGAAATTTTGCCAAAGAAGTCAGCCATGAAATGGATGGACTTATCTTTCAGCCTATTGGAGTAAGTTCATTTGTGTGTGTATAGCAATGTGTGTGTGTTTGTGCGTGTGCATGTGCGTGAGCACTTGTAGTATGTATTATGTATGTAAATATGTGTCTATACCTGCTTGTATATATAAAGTACATTTTCCTGAGGTATATTTACTTAGGATTGATAACTGCTTTTCCTTAAAACAAGTTATTATAAAATATTTCTACTAAATATATGTAATGGTCAAATGAACAATTGTTAGCTCTTCACTCAGCTTAAGAAGTAAATATTATTGATCCTTATTTTTCAAGGAAGTTAGTTCTTGCAAAATGAATGTTAATTATTTCTGTACTAGAAATCTACCAGTAATATTACATAAACGCTTATTTCTTTCTGTAGCCCAATCTACCTTTAAATACTAATATTTCTAAATTTGTCATGGATGGATGAGTAAAATTCAAATAATTTTTAATACTTAAAATACAATTCTTTGGATATTATATGTCAAATTTCTGAGACTCACTGAAGAACTTTGAATGATCAAGTCATATTTTGGAATAAGCTACATTTTACTCTATAGTATGGTTTCTCAACTTTAGCACCAGTGACCTTTTTTTTGCCAGATAATTCTTTTCTGTGGAGGACTGTCCTGTGTGTTGTAGGGTGTTTAGCAGGATCCTTGGTCTGTATTTACTAGTGCCAGGATTACTTCTTCCCCTAATCCATCTCTTCAGTTTGTGACAACCAAAAATATATGCAATCACTGCCTACTTTCCCCCAGAGAGCAAAATTACCCTCCTATGACAACTTGTGCTCTCTCTAGGGCACTCTTTCTCAAAATGTAGCCTGTGGACAAGGAATATTAGCCTGACCCAGAAAGTTGTTATAAAAGCAGCTCACCTTGGACCTACTGATCAGAAACCCTGGGATGGAGCCTAGCAATTTGTGCTTTAATAAGCTCTCCATGTGACTCTAACTCACGTTCATGTTTGGTAGAGTTGTATTTCATGTGCTATATACCTCATCACGTGCTGCAGTTTGTCTCATAAGCTCCATTGGTCCGTCAGTAACTCTATCCTTAGAAATTAGGGCACGGGCGTAGCTGAGAAGTTGTATTGAGAGACCTCAACCTGGATGCCTGTGGAAAAGGGAAAGAAACTAATATTTTTGAAAACTGGGTATTAAACACTATATTATATATAAGTTACATAAATACTAGAACTTTAATATGTAGGCTTAAATATAATGTAGATATGTGATTGTCTTCTGTCTTCCTTCCAGTCCCCTTTGCCAAACAGGTGGAGGGAAACTCTTCTGTGGTTGAGGGAAGAGGTGATGAAGGAAAGTTAGAGGCTGGGGATAGAAATTGTAGAAAATGCTATCTTAGGAAGATGGAAGTTACTAGATCTTTGAGTTTTAGTATTTTCCAGGTTTAATCTCCCTAGATTGAAATAAAGTCTAAAGATAACAGTAATTACAGTAAATTTTACTGTGTTAAACTCATCGGTTCATACTCACGTGTATGTGAGATTTTGGTAAATGTAAGAGAAATGATCTGACATGGAAGTCAGTCTCTGGGATGTCTAGGAAAGTCAGCCAATGTATTAGTCTGTTTCCATCCTAGTAACCACACATGTCATTATAATGACTTTGTAATTGATATCTGGTAAGGCAAGTCTCTCTTTGCCAGGATTTTCTTAAGTATGTGAGGACATTTGGTTTAACATATAAATTTCAGAAATAGTTTCTCTGGTTACCCAGAAATTCTTGTTCAGTTGGAATTACGAGTTCAGTTGGAATTGCTTTGAATTTAGTTTGGAGAAATTGATGTTTTTACAGTGTTAAATCATCTCAATGAATAAGGTTTAGCTGTTTTCGGGTCTTTTTCTGTTCTCTAATTGAGTTTGAGTTTTTAATTGTTGTCTAATTTCTATATATTTATTTTCCATTTTCACAGTAAATGGTGTCTTTGTTGGTACTTCAGATGTACTGCCACATTGATTGATTTATTTTGTTGATTCAAGAATCTTGCTGAATAGTCTTAGTTCTAATAATTGTCTAATTTTACCAATTGGCCAGGACCTCTAGTACTGGCTGAAACATACACTTTATTGGGGGGAGGAGGGGGAGACATTCATACCTTATTCTCAACTTCAAAGGGAATGTGGCTAAATTTTCTCTCTTAAGTATGTTTTTGGTAGATTTCAGTTAGATAACTTTTATCATGCCAAGAAATTTTTGTTTCTGTTCATACAAAGTTCCCCCCCCCCCATCATAAATAGATTTTGGGAGTTAACAAATGCTTTCTTGGTATCTCTTGATTGAGATTGCCATGTTGTTTTCCTTTTTATAACATTAATGTAGTAAGTTACAGTGATTTTCTCATGTTGACCTGTCCTTACATTCTGACATAAATGCTGCTCAATCATGATATATGTAATTTAGATCTGGGTGTAATAGTTTTTTGAGGATTTATGCCTCCTTATTACTTACAGTTTTTTCCTTTTTTTTTTTTGTACATTCAAAATATAGAAGGTAATATTATGGAAAAATATTATAAGTTTCAAGTAACACATAAGAATACATGCCCATGGTTTTAAAAGTAAAATATCTTGGCTTGTACTGAAAAATAGCGCTCTCTCTTCTACTTTCCCCACACTCAAAGTACCACTCCTTGGAGGGGATTATTTTTTGTTGTTTTAGCTGTGTTTTTTTCTTTTCCCTCCCTATTTCTACAAAATCTGTTTATGCTGCTCTTCCTTGGTTTTCTGTTTTATACATGATCTGCCTACTCTCTGCTGTTGAAGAACAGGATTGAGCTCTTTCACTCCTCCAACATCACCCCTTCTCCTTCTGTCATCCCATTATAATTATATCACATTTTGGGTCAAATGAATATTCAGTATTTGTATTTCTGTTGTAACATAAATATTGTTCACATCTGAGTCAAGTTGTATAATATTTTATTTTCATAGAAAACTTTTTTTGCCTAGAGTTAGGAAGTGCCTTGTATTTTCATTTGTTATGATTATCACTGCTTCTTTCCTTAAATTCTTTAAAAGAACTTTTTGTTAAGTTTTATTTATTTATTTTGAGAAAGAGAGGGAGAGAGGGAGAGAGAGAGAGAATCCCAAGCAGGCTCCGTGCTGTCAGAGTGGAACCTGACTGGGGCTCAATCTCACAAAGTGTGAGATCATGACCTGAGCCAAAATCAGAGTTAGACGCTTAACTGACTGAGCCACCCAGGTGCCCCTGAAGAGACTTTTTTCCATTAGATATTCCTTTCCTGCTTTGTCGAAGATTAGTTGACCATATAGTTGTGTGTCCATTTCTGGGTTTTCTATTTTGTTCCACTGATCTATGTGTCTGTTTTTATGGCAGTACCATACTGTCCTAATCCCTATAGTTTAGTAATATGACTTGCAGTCTGGAGTTGTGATACCTCCAGCTTTACTTTCCTTTTTCAAGAATGCTTTGGTTATTTGGGGTGTTTTGTAGTTCCATACAAATTTTTGGATCATTTGTTCTACCTCTGTAAATAGTGTTGGTGGTATTTTGATAGGGATTGAATTAAATGTGTAGCTTGCTGGGGCACCTGGGTGACTCAGCTGGTTGAGCATCTGACTTTGGCTCAGGTTGTGATCTCGCAGGACATGGGTTCGAGCCCCGCATCAGGCTTGCTGCTTTCAGCACTGAGCCTGCTTTGGATCCTCTGCCCTCCCCCACCTTTCTGCCCCTGCCCCACTTGTGTGCTCTTTCTCTCTCTTAAAAATAACATTTTAAAAAATGTGTAGATTGCTTTGGGTATAGGCATTTTAACAGTATTTGTTCTTCCAACCCTTGAGCATAGAATGTTTTTCCATTTTTTGTGTATGTCTTCTTCAGTTTCTTTTATAAGTGTTGTATAGTTTTCAGAGTACAGATCTTCTACCTCTTTGGCTGGGTTTATTCCTATCTTATGGGTTTTGGTGCAGTTGTAAATCAATGTGATATGCCACGTCAATAAAAGAAGGATAAGAACCATGTGATCCTCTAAACAGATTCAGAAAAAGCATTTGACAAAATACAACATCCATTCACGATATAGACCCTCAACAAAGTTGGGACAGAGAGAACATTCCTCAAAATAATAAAGGCCATATGAAAAGCTCACAGCAAATAACATCCTCAGTGGGGAAAACCTGAGAGCTTTTCCTCTGTGGTCAGGAACAGGGCAGACTGGAAGTCCTAGTCTCAGCAATCAGACCAAAAAGAAATATAGGCAGACTATTTAAAAATTTATAGCTATTTTATTTTTCTTGTTATACATGCATATGTATAATCTATTTTATGCTGTGTCTTTTTTTCTTTTATGGAAGTCTTCAGTGACTTAAAGTCTCACTTGTTTCCTTGCAGAGTCCCAAATGCAAACACCTATTTGTTCTTCATGAAACAATAATGTTAGATTTGCTACTTGAATATTCTTCTCAGAGACTTCTCAGTGGGTTAGAATTGGTCTCTGATTAAGATAAGCCACTTAATATCTCTTTGGTTCTCCAGTTCTTTATCTGTAAAATGTACAGGCTATAATTAATAACTTAGCTCTGAAATTCTGAAATGATCATATTATGATCAATGTATGTCAATATAAATCAACACTTAAGAATTCCTTCTTCCTGCCAACATCTGGGAAAATGTTTTGGGTAAAGAATTCTTAATAAGAGAGAGAATAAACTCTTATTTTATTTTCCTAAAAACAATACATCTCTTAAATGGAAATTTAGACTGTTGCAATAGATAGAGTTTTTGTGAAGTTTATCATTGTCACCATTATGAGTTTATTTCTATTGTTTTTTTTTTTCCTGCCATCATTTCAATAGAATTCTCACTTTTGCATGCTAAATTATACATAGTATATGGAATGGCTTTGCAAAGATCACATTTTGTTCATCAGTGGACGTCAGTTTCTTATTAATTTAGCCTAACAGATCCTTAGGTTAGTATATATCTACAAAAGACTTATAACAATATTTTGTTATAAAAAATATTTC